GATGACTAGGAGTGGGACTTTGCTTCTGCACACAGTTTGAAAACAGAACCGCACTGTTCTGGAGCTGGTTTTCTGTTTAACATTACTTGTAAACCATGATAAAGGGTTAAAAGAATGGGGAGAGCGGGGGAAATGCCTGATGAAGGAAGAGCTTTCATGATCCATGTTTTTAGTTTCTTGGAAAGAAAATGCAGGGTTGACTTGCACTGACACGTGTACTATTACAGAACAAGACACTGGGCGTTGCAATACTGTTTGATCAACTGGAGAGCGAAAGCAATGAGAACTGCTGGCTGAAGTTGAAACTAGATTAAATGGGATTGAAACGAGGTGTGCATTTCTCATGCAGGCACACGCTATCAAGGACAGGGTGGACTTGCCAGGATTTTAAAATACTTCAGTTAAAACTGGACTATCTTCCTGGAAAATACGCTTCAACTACACAAATTTTTGGCGTCCGTTCAGACACACAGAAGTTGGGTACCATGAACTCAAACGGAGGAGGCAAAACATTATGGTCTCTTGTGGCATTACACTCCGAATAGGTTCTTAAACCAGGCGATTTCAGTACTGCTGTGAGAACTAAGCCACTAAAATTCTGTAGGAAAAGCCTAATTAAGAGCTGGCAGCCTACAAAACCAGCCGGTGTCGATCCCCGGGCAGTGGTACTGGTCACAGTGCCCCTGGAAACAGGGACGGCTTTCTGCAGGTGTTCTCTTCTAGCAGGGGTGCAGAGGGAGCAGCGTCTTGGTTCAGACCCTGCTGGAAAGGCTGTCTTACAGAAAATGGCCCTATAGGCAGGGTGGAGTAGTTGGAAACAGCCATAAGAATATCTCCTAATTGAGGAGGAGCTAGTGCATAAATAGGAGGTTTTAACGTTAATGTAGAATTGTGGTACCAATTACCTGAGGAGTTCTGCTCACAAATGTACCTCATAAGCTTCATGAATCCAAGGCATATGCTCTGTTCGTACTGTTTTTCTTTCATTTTTATACAAGCCCACTTGGCTTTTCCGTACTGACGTTTCTCGTAAAGCAGGTCTCCGAGCTGCGAACACGGGAAGATAAGAATTTTGTGGTTTAAGTTAATCACCTAAAAAACGCCAAGCAAACAAATAAAATCAAACGATATTTCAGCGCTTCTAGCAGGCAGAAATCAGCGCCTCTAGGCGTACGGCCAGGAGAAGGGCAAGCATGGGGAATGACTGAAGTCTCGGTGTCAGGTCCTGTTTAATACTCAGTTCACAGGTGCTTCACCTGCGGGTCCACGCTGGCACATGAGGAGATGCCCAGACCCAGTGTGCTGCGTGCGTCCTACCTCAGCACGAGCCTAATTGCATCTTTTTTCAGCTGTCAGTGGAGTGATCTGGAAAGGGACATGTGACTTTCAGGCCTTCCTCACAGAAATCAAGAAGGGATATGCTGCTGATCTTGGACCAAAATTTACTTCAGCAGGCTTCTAGGTAATTCTCCTTTAAGCTAAGGAACTGTCATCTTTTGGACTTGCAGTATTAAACATTTAACATGCAATTAACATTGAATAACCTTATATTTTTATCTGCAGTTATTCCAGTAGTGCTGAAAAATTGCTTTCCAGCATTTAATTACAACTTGCGTAGTCAGGAGTCCTGAACTGTTTAGATGAAATACACCCAATTAACTTGTGACATTTATAAATTCAAATTATATAGATCTATTGAAAAGAAGTGTGACCAGACTGCTTCATCCATGGTTAGTAAAAGTTTTGTTGGTTTGCCGTGTATTTGAGGTTAGATGCTTGTTTGCACACTTCCTGCGCTCTGAACAGTTTGCTGGACATCGCTTTCAGTTTTTCATTAGAGGACAAGATGGTTTTGATAAGATGGATTTGCAAATCGATGCTTTGTTTGGTAACAACCCATGATACAAAAGTACATGTTTGGTTTTAAATTCAGGTATTAATCTCTCAAATATTCTTTGCTGAGGTTTTATGAAGATGATTGTGTAAAGAAGCAAATGCATTGATTTAAACAAAGGAAATAGGCATTTTTGTTTCAAATGTCAAAATATGAGAGCTTTTTGTTAAATTAACTATGAAATGTTACAAA